AAAAWWAWTWAAAARKTTWTTKTTTTTACTCCTCAGCTTTATATATYCATCATAGAAGGCAATGCCATTTCTACTTGAATGAGAAAACACCCCAACTTTAATTAGAGATTTCTTTCTTGCATGTTTCTAAGTAATGTTTCAATATGATCTGTTACCATGGAAACACCAACATAGCCAATAATGTAATAATAGTCAGACCCCATTTAATTTTAATCTGTTTTTGTTTCACAAGGTTCATGAGCAGTTGAAACTTGAGCAGCAAAAAAGAAGCAAGTTTGGAGATGATCGTGAAGAGAGTCTCGTCAAGGAAAGTGAATCAAGGGAGGCCAACTTCCTCCACAAGATTCGTGACCTTGAAAATGAGCTCCGTCAAGCTAAAAAAGCAGAGAAAGAAGGYCTCCTTGAGAGTGACAGACAGACMAACCAAATAAGTACACTTYTAAAGGAGGTTGAGCAACTTAACCAATCTAAGAAAGAATTGTACAATGAAATAAGACAATTAAAGTACCGTGAATCTAARCACTTACAGGAATATGGTGAATTGGAGGAAGAAAATATCAACCTTCAAAAACAGGTAATATGACTGTTGCTTGCTACTTACATCCATCTGTCTTCCTCTCACCCCACCCCTCCCCATGTTTAAGCAGTCTCTTTTATATCCATGGAAGTAGATCTAGAATTATTTTTTACGAGTTTGTTGACTTTGATGGGATCCCTGTGAAAGTTCATATTAAAGTGAAAACCTTGTGACATTAAAAATATGTATTTTCTGTTTCAGTATTCAGCTCTCAAACTATCAATGGTTGAATTTGAGGCCCTGAAAGTCGAAAACAAAAGCTTTTCCGATGAAATAGATGCTGTTCAACTTCAACTTCAAATGGCTTGTGAACGGAGAGATCARATTCAAAAGCAGCTCAACGAAGCCCTGGAATCTTTAAAGGAACAACGGGAAAGAAACACAGTTTTACAGAAAGAGCTGCAAGAAAGTCGTCAAACGCCTTCGTTCAGTAGTTGGGAGATTGAAAGCTCCGTTGTGGCACAAATTAATCAGGAAAACAAGAATAAAGACGATGGTGGATCTAGTAGTGATGAGCCAACCTCTCCTCTAAGTCCTGCACCCGTTCTAGTGGAAGACCTCATGAAAGAACTACAAATATCAGAAATGAAAGGATTAGAGGAGCAATTATCAAAGCTTTCCAGTGAAAAGACTCAACTAAGCAATGAACTTGCTAAGAAGAATCTAGATGTGGCAAAACTAAAGCAGGAGTTTGACGCCCTGCAAACGATAAGAGAAGCAAAATTGCTTTGTGATACTTTAGACGATGACTTTGATGAGAGCGAGCTAAACGTCTCTTTGGAGAACTGTGTCAAAATAAACAATCAGCTTAAAGAGCTGGAAGAACTCAGGAAAGTCTTGAAGCGTTACCAGACTAAAGACGGCAAGTACCAGGCACAAATACGAGACTTAAAGAACGAAGTTGAAAGTCTTAGAAGCAAACTTAGTGTTGCACAAACTAAAGCTGATGAGTCGATCTTTTTGACGAAACGAACAAAGGAGTTAGAAGAGGAAGTATTGAATTTTAAGAACAAACTAACAGAGTCAGAAGATATCGTCAAAGGATTGCAGGATGATGTGAAGTCCATGAGCGACCTTGCAGGGGAGGCCCAGGGGAGTTTAAATTGCACACAGGATGAACTGAGGTATGTCAGTAATGACCTTACAAAGCTATACAAGCATGTCTGCTCGGCAAATGGAGAAACACCCAAATCATTAGGACCTAAAGCTGCAGAGAAGACTAAGGGAACCCAAGAAAATGGAGATGCTACAAAGTCGGAAACTCCTTCGACATCTCCCGTCAACGAAAAGGGCGTGCCCGAAGAGCGGCAATCACCCATGGGAAGTGAAAACCCGAATGATTCTGAAGACCGTGCAGACCCRCTATCATGTTATCGTGTTATAAGYACAGTTCGTGATCAAGTAAAGTTCCTCAAGCGTGCTGTAGAGAAAACGGTTGAGATATCTCGCCAGAGAGCTTTAGAGTATCGTGTAGTCAACGAAGATACCGCGCGATCTCCTGCTCCAGGCGAGTATGATGATTCCCTGAGACACCAAGTCGTGAAACTCCAAGGTCTGTTAGCTACAAAACGGGAACAAATAACSACGTTAAGAACAGTCCTTAAAGCTAATAAATCAACCTATGAAGTTGCGTTGGCAAATCTCAAGAGTCGTTACGAGAACGATAAAGCTGTGCAGTCCGAATCTTACTCACAGCTGAAACGTAATCTGAAGGCTTTGAAGGCAGAAGCAGCGACATTCGCTTCCTTACGAAGTATGTTCGCTGGAAGGTGCGAGGAATATGTTATACAAATGGACGAACTGCAAAGAAAGCTGTCCGCTGCTGAAGAAGAAAAGAAAACGTTGAATCAACTTCTTAAACAAGCTATTCATCAGAAAATCGCATTGACACAAAGGCTTGAAGARTTTGAAATTGCGCGCGAAAGATTACGCGCTTACACGAGGAAAAAGACAAGAGCGGCTAAAACTAGACCATCTACACGCGTCTAGCTCGTATGCAGAAAGGGTATAATGTCGTCTATGATGGCATGTGGAAATGAAGCAACTTGTGTCTATTCATTGACAAAATACACCAGTCAACGAATTATAATCGAAGGAATCTGCATTTTATACACATGCTTTTTGGCTTTGCTGTTGATGCCATCAATGAAGAAGACTGAAGCAAATRGCGTATTACCTGGTATTATAGTTGTAAAGAAATTAAGAAAGAAACAGTTCGATTCAAAGGATAGGGCTAGAATGGACAAAAATAGTTTAACCTTCGTACAGTTGTCAAGAACATAAGGAATGGTTGTATGTGGATTCTGGTGTATGGTGAAGCATACTTGCTATTTCMGAAACAGGTTATTTMTGCATGTGGCCCTGCTATCAGAAGAGTATAGAAAAAAATAACAAGATAATGGAGAATCACATGACCTTACTTGGTATAGCATACGTATTGGGCATAGAACTAAGCAAAGTATTTTTAGTATAAAGAATTACATTGTGGAGAATATATGGATTGGAATAAACAGTCTGATACGAAGGCAAACAAAAGTGCTTTTGTATTTTTAAATTGATTAATAAGTCACTAACACTTTGTGAATTCGTAAAAACATATTTTAACAAAAATTTGTAAAGAAAGTTTTTAATGTATTTGTGACTGTATGCGGAAATATTATTTTAAGATTTAATATTTTAGTAAAATTTGGTAATTGTTAAAAAAATATTCAACTTCAATGCAGCCATTTTAGGTGTTTTTATTTCATATCAGTGAGAGGAGTCGAGTACTGTGATATGACACAGAAATTGCTGCAAAGGAGTGTAATRCATATATTCTATTAACACAATAGTAAAATAAAAACATATCACAATATAATTCATAAGCAAAAATCAAATAAAGTGCCATTTCATGTGGTTTATCTTTAACTAAAAGGATTATATTTCAAAGGTTTTTTTACACTTCTTGGGGTATAAAATGTCCCCTCTTGTACCAAAGGTCTTCTATGGTACCAAAGTCCTATCTGTTGGGCGTGGCAGTGACAACCCATCCCGAATGGTGTGTTGTACTGCAAGTGGATCAATATRCAGGAGCATGCAGCCTCCTTGTCTATGAACTGTGGAGGGATGGGTGAATGGCACTATTACAATGATACAGAACATTGCAAAATCTTAAAATAACCACACCAGGTATTGGGCTGGAAGTATCACAATTTAATTTGGCTTAGACGTTTTGATGGAATACATATCATTTTGGTGGAGTTAAGCTAAATAAAACTAAAGTTTTTACAGAGTGCAAACAATTTACTGTACTAGTTTTTTTGCAACCTGGTTATCTTTCCTTGTTCTAATCAAGATTCRGAATGACCTAATAAGTAAACTGCTTGCAATCAAATACTTATACTTAGAAGAGTGATGTCTATTTGACTGTGAACGACTTGTCAATCTAAAAGTAACTTGATAATACTRAATCTATTTCTTTYCAAAKACATGCAGTAATGTYTTTCTTTCATGGTGAAAGTAAAACTACATTTTTGTCATGCTATGGTGTGCTATTTATTGAAGACTTGAAGCTGGAATCTATAAATGCTTTATTATCAAAGCAGGTAAGTACATATGTTGAGTATTTARCCATGTTTTCAATATATTCCTGTTCATTCTAAGCTACAACACGACACTAAATGGGAAACAGAAACAAAAGCAAACACCATCTTAATTAYMCTAGTTGTATTATTTAGCAATTTTATCATTTTATATCATTTGCTTTGGTCGACTTGATAGAAGACCTCAAATCAACCAATTAGTTCTTCTTTCTACAAGACATCTTACGTAAAAAAGTATTAATTCCCATAATTCTATTTTACAATATAAGTGACGATCAGAGTAACCTCACAAAGAATTAATTTGTGCATGWAATGAAGAGGATAGTTGCCATAACAACTTGTCATCATGAGCGACGCTTTACATATTCATGTGAGGATATTACAAAGTCTTGTAAGAAAAAATAACAATCCATATCATACTATTATTTTCAACATGCGCAGCCATCTGCTTTTTGTTTGTTCTCGCCGGATAACTTGATTTGATCAGGGAAATCATTATAAAGCTCCACGTCAGTTTCCTGTGCAAGGGCATTCTTGGCTATTGTCTGGAAGGCTTGCTCCACGTTGATGGCTTCTTTGGCACTAGTCTCAAAGTAGGGGATGTTATTTTTAGAGTGGCACCAAGCTTGTGCTCTCTTCGCTGAGACCTGTGGAATTAAATAAAGTATTAATAATCAAAGCTTAACAGTACCATCAAATTATTGTGATTTTGTTCAACATTTACTATCATTTCATTTGCTATCACTCTATGAACCTATGATGACAGCTGAAAACCTTGATTACCAGCATCACTTTTATAATATTATTTCTATTGCTATCCAACCTGAACTTGAGCCTCATTTTACATCATCATAATACTGAATATCATACAAAATCATGAATMAATTTGTGTAGAAATCAATGCTTGTACTCACAGCTCTGTTTTCTAAGTCAATCTTGTTTCCAAGTACAACAAATGGGAAGTTCTCAGGGTCTCGTGGACTTGCTTGAATGAGGAACTCGTCCCTCCAGCTGTCAAGTGTCTTGAAGGTATTGGGCTGGGTGACATCAAAAACCAAAACACAACAGTCGGCACCACGGTAGAATGCCACGCCTAAACTTTGGAACCTTTCCTGGCCAGCTGTATCCCAGATCTAATTAAAAGTTTTGAATTAGTCAAAAGATACTTCAAAACAACCCCCCAAAAACAGCTCAATTCACTTTGCACAAAAACAGAGATAAAGTTATACAACTATAGATAAAATACATGTATTTTTGTTGTTTGGTTTAGGGATGAGAAACCACAACTATGTTGGATAAATTGTTGGCTGAAGTACAACCAATATGATGGTCATGAACTTTAAACAACAATATTGGTTCTTATATTAAATGTTAAAACTATTTCTATGTTTTCATACTGCCAATAATGAATACCTCTRAAACAGGATAGGCTATAAGAAATTTGGAATAATTTCTAAGCTGAATATTTGGGATACAATTCATATGTGAAAATCCTAGCAAAAATTATCATATTGAACRTGATAATCTAGACCTTGAAAGCAACATAGCTAAGTGTACTTATTGAAAAAACATTGGTTCCTACCTGCATTGTTACCAGCCTGTCATCGACCATGACCTCTTTTGTTAAGAAATCAGCACCTATTGTAGCTTTATACTGATTACTGAACTTTTTGTTGACATATTGATTCATTAATGATGTTTTGCCAACACTAACAAAAGAAGAAATTATGACATATTACTAATGAAAATAATTTGAAACATTTAATTCACTATTTTTGACTTTCTAAACTGCTAGCAGTTGTTGTTTACAGATCTCTACAATGTTGTGATATGCTAGTATGCTGTATCAGTGTAATACAACATATATACTCAAGGAAATTGAAATTTTTTAACATGTTTTTAAATAGATCTTCAGTTTTCTATAAAAATCTGAAAAGACAATTATAATTTCCTTTTAAGAAATATCCAGTTTTCTATAAAAATCTGAAAAGACAATTATAATTTCCTTTTAAGAAATATCTCCAAACTTACCCACTATCTCCAAGAATGATAACTTTGAGAAGAACCTTTTTCCGTGAAGCCATATTTGTTATTTTTCTGTGAGAAAGGTAAGCATTGCACTGATGTTAATAATATTACTAAATGAGAAAACAACAAAGACATGCTATGCTTTCATTTAAAATTTCAGGAAATTTGGAAACATTACCAAAAGGAATAAACAAAAAGGAAGACAGCTGGTTTTTCTTGYAAAGTTCATTTAAATTCAAATTTACTACAACTCAGCTTTTTATTTTACAAGTGGGATTTTTATAGAAATTTAATAGTGTTGAATTCATATGTGTGACATTTCCTTAAATCAATTTTAATGGGAACCAATGTTAACCAAGTTAAAAAAATGAACAAACACTTAGTTATATAACTAATCAATGCTTGAAAGTGAGATTCTAGCTTAGGGAACTAAACAGCAACTAATCTCACTACAAGTTGATAGTCCGTTTGATCGGTTATGGTTTTATGGACTATCACCTTGAGTATGACCTCATGGAACATTAACTCACACTTCGTTTGACCCCGTGATCTAATTGTAAAATTGAACAAACCTTCCATTCAATTTTTCACACAAATTTCTTATTAAATTAATCTATTTAGCATTATTTCAGAAATTCTGAAAAACATTCAGAAATCCAGTTTTGACTCTTTGAATCCTCAGAGTACATATTTTAATGCCAGCTTAATAATATTAAGCAATTTCTCTTGGAGTGAATTATGCATTTAAATAGCTGCCTAAATATTGAAATGGTTTCGCACTATACCTCCCCTACCGTTTAGAAAAGTGTAAATTGAAATCTAAATCCAAATAACTAYAAAAAATGTCCAAAAACCTTTCAAAAGTGCAAAGYTCTAACATTAATTAGATCTCTTGTAAAAATTAAGTACTTTTAAGAACATAGTTTGTTGAATTTTCACAATAAAGTTTCTAAGAAGTGTTGCGAAATTATTCATGCATGTATGTCAGTTGTCTATCTCGCTTACAAACTTATATASTTTTACAACTATTAATGAACTTAAWCCCAAACTCTACAAGCTACCATGCACATTAAGAAATCATTAAATAGTCGACTATTCCAAGCAATCGCTTGCTTAAATAATAGCTGATCACATTTCGCGGAAAATGGGTTATTAGCACACCGTGTATTTCCACCGATCGAAGATATTTTGCATTCAAAGCCTGGCGGAATATCAACATTATAGAATAATTGAAAGGCTAAAGACATCAAGCATTTCAAATACCATGTTTAARGTCCATACTTACCAATTTAAATTTAGGAAATACGCAAAGATAGAGTCAAATCCAAGAAGTAAACTGAAGTCTACGCCGATTTGGTCAAAATGGCCGAGGCGTTTGTGGTGCTGGTCTCGTGACTATGTGTTCGGGCGATTGCGTCACAAAACACAGGGTAACCATMWCTCTTGTGTAAATACTAGTAATAATTTCTGTTTTCATACTGCAAGTTTTTTTTMAAAGCGYAATTTTCACATACAATGAACTTCTAAGCACAAAACATTTCATTGTTGTTGTTTCRATATYATTTGAATTCTTTAAAAAGCTTCGCGATTTACAGCCTGGATATCCAGGGACGACGGCTTCCGAAGATTCCCGATAACTTTCCGGAAATAGGATACCTTTTCGAAACTAAAAGAGCTAAGATGGCGCCCAAGTTGAAGCCAAAGTCTCCAAGTAAGGGTTATGGAAATGGACTTGGATCCTTTATACTCGACTTTTATCGCGACCCAGCAAAATGGTATGTTATAAAGGTCACTTTTATTCATAAAATGAGATTAAAATATTTCTGAGAAGTCGTAAAAACTGAGATATATTGTAAACACGTGCTCGACGTGGTAAAGCTRTRKYWGWRWWARAA